CAACTTCAGTATCCTGTGTATCAGGAGCCAAGACCCTTTGATCTAATAACAAGTAGACTGGCCAATCGTAGAGAGGGGTGTGGAGTTGTAAAGAGGGTCTTGGAAACCCTCCAATCTCCATTAGGCCTTGGGAGGCAACCAATGGGAGACGTGTCATGCATCCCTATGGACACCAGGGGTATATTAATGACTGGAAAAAAGCAGCTCGTCCTCTTTTCACCAGGATGGGGCCTCATGTGACGATTAATGGGTAACTATACATTTAATCTTTCCACCACTTAACTGTATGTCTGTTTGTCGGTTAGATACCAATGTCTGGGTATTTGGCATGTTTAAATCTTTTCTTTGTATGTTGTAGTTAAATAGATTGTTGGTTCATTGTATTTAAGTCTTGATACTATATACCAATAAATTCTGTTATTGTGTTGAGCTCAAAAATCTCATGAATGAATCCTTAGAATCTCAAACCTGTAAGTGTGAATGCTTATATAGCGGTTCATAACTTAAAATAGTAATTCAGGTAACAGCTTCGTGGTCGCCAATAAAGAGGGACCCTCTTTACAACTCCACACCCCTCTCTACGATTGGCCAATCTACTTGTTATTAGATCAAAGGGTCTTGGCTCCTGATACACAGGATTCTGAAGTTGAACATCTATGTGATTATCTGGACATGCCTGGGCTCAACAATGACCCTATTTGCAATTCATTGGGCCTGCCACTCCCCTCCACATTGATAAGCACAACAAAGACTTTATTTCCCCACTAGCTACCCCCACCTATTTAAAACAAGAAATAAAACTATATACATATGTCTTATGAAGATTTGACAAACTCATACGGTAACAATCATCAGACCAATTACAACCAAGGTATGAGTGTGAATGGAAATGTATCAACATTGCACAATAATAGCATTGCCAGAGATAGCATTTTTCACACACACTATATACAGTAAGGGGAATTTATCAAAACTGGAGCAGACGAAATCTGGAGCAGCTGTGCATGGCAATCGGCTTCTCTCTTCAATGTTTTAAGTTGAGCTTTGAAAATGAAAGAGAGAAGCTGATTGGTTGCCAGGGGGCACTGCTCCAGATTTTGTCTGCTCCAGTTTTCAAAAATTCCCCTCAGTATGTTTTATACAAACTGAGATCCATTACTCAATTGCCTGTCCATGACGGAATGATGACAATTCAGGTTTTCCAGGACTCTAATAAGGGAATACAATCAGTGTGTTTCCATCAAACTATGCTTCTATATACAAGTCTTCAAAGCATGTTTACTTGGCAGCCACCAGGAATGAGTTTTTAGAAGCATCTTAGTACTTAGGCTAATTTGTTCTAAAACTTAATTAGCAGCAAGAACGCAGTTGAAGTCGCAGAAAACCCCCAACATTTTAACCCCTTCATGACTGAGGCCCTTTTTTCATTTTTTGCACCCATGTTATATTCCACATTTTAGGCCTGAAAATGACATAAAACCCCCCAACATTATATATTTTCTGAATGCCAAGACCCTATAGAATAAAATGGTGGTAGTTGAAAATTTTTATGTTGCGCAATATTAGCACAACTCCTTATTAAACCCCAAAATTTAGTGACAAATTTAATTAAATGCCCCAAAACACAACAAATTACCCATTTTTTTAATGAAATATAAAAGATGAGGTTACAACGAGTAAAACGATACCCAACATGCCCAGTTTACAAATTGCGTGCGACCGTGAAACGGCGAAAAACTGCAGTACCCCAAAAAGTCAATAAAGGGGTTAAAGGACTTTGAAGAAAGAGACTTAAAAGCAGAACATTCCTTTATACCTCTTTTTTTAAGGTAGGGGATTAGCGCGGTTTCCGCATGATTTTTGAAAGGGTATTTTTGGGCGTTTTTTTAAAAAGGCCAAAAACTTGCTGACCAGCGCGTTTCCATTGACATCTATATGGAAAACGCACTGATCAGCGCTAAAAAAAGTAGCCCGGGGAGCAAATTGGGAGGGAGGCAGATTGAAACGGGCCACATAGGAATAAATGTGTTTACGGTTGACAGCTCAGTGTTGAAAAATCCGCGCGACTGAATCGCCCTGGTGTGAACGCAGCCTTAGATGATAAAGAAAAAAAAATCTACTTGTGGGATATCCACTGCAGAAGAGTTACCTGTAACATTATCTGTGCAAAAGCAGAGTTTACATTTTTGGGATGAACTCTATATCCAGGAAAAAGAGGCCCAAGATGGCCTTGGGGTTGTGGAGTGATGGGCTGCAGCAGTTCTATTTTACGCAGGGCTTCACCTACTGTCCACTGATCCTACCTTGTTCCTGGGCTCACAGAAAAGATCTTCAGCAGCAAACTTGGCAAAAAAAAACAAAAAACTATCTTAGAGTAACCAATGCATCCTTCACAATATTAGCATACATACCATTTACATTCATAGACGGCAAAATGATTGACATTTTCGGCCTAGTGGTCTTGTTTCTGTTGGTTGCTGGCAACAGCAAATGATCCTGCAAAAAAATATTATATATAAATAAAAAACAAAACATAGACCATTAACCAATATGAAATAGTTTGTATTGCTGTGATCATCTGTCAATACGTATTATATCATTCCATTACCGATGTATGTTCAATGTATACATTTTACCTCTAAAATAAGTTTTCAAGCTGTCCACTAACAAAGCAAACAGAAAATCCAACACAGTAGTCTAAAAAATATTTAAAACACACTGCTGAAGGAGATGAAGATTTGCTCAATCACCAAGAAAAGAGGGAATCTAAAAGTGTACTCTCAGCCTGGTGATAAGGGGTCCTTTGAGGGTCCCAAGGCACCAAAAATAGAAAAGGTATTCGAACACTGAAAGCTTGGTGATGGGAGTAGAAAGCAGAGTAATGAACGTATATTGCTGATGCGCCTTCATTCTCAAATTGTCATACTGAGTCACACTCTGTTAAAGTAAGGAAAGCTAGTTGAGGGGCAAAACAGAAAAGTGCCAGTAGGTGCCTGTCAAAAATAAATTGTCCTAAATGGGCAAAGCGCCAGATGTTCTTTAAGCAAGCCTGAACAATTTCACCAATTTATAGAGGGATTCCAGTCAAAACCTTTTTATTTTGAATATACAGGGGAAGGACTAGAAGCCCTAATAAATTATTACTGTCTTTGTCCCCATTGGTGGGATTTCCCTGCACATTGTTATTCTTTGTGTCTTTTTATAAAGATTTTTCTGCTGTTCATACTCTCAGCATATTCTCAGGTATTACTTCCAATCTGCTATCAGACTTGATACTATCTTATGACAGGTAACAACTGTCTCTCCATTGCTGCTGGAACAGGATCTAAACAGATAAAGCAAAAAAAGTGTGTTTTAGGGGCTTAGAAGATCAAAACTATACTCTATCCAATATTGTAAAGGATTCAAGTGGGTTTGGGGCATTTGGATGGGTGATATCTATACCAGCTGGGAACCTTAATTGGCTGCTTATTAAGACTATCATTAGGGTTAGTTCACGAAGAGGCAATTAAGATATTTTTACAAAGAAACGTGTTTAATTTTTAGACCTTAGCACTGAAATATATAGCAAAGATGTATTTTAATTTCTTCTTAGATAAATGTGAAAGATTACATATGAATATTTCACATTTACATTTCCTGTGAGCAGGTTAAGCTCTAGAAATTTCCACGCTCATCCGGTGAGGAAGAAAGTAGTGCCATAAAAACAAATGAGCATTTCTCGCTTAAAAGTTTTCATTTTTGTGTAAATTGGATCAGGAGTCTGGCTTAATTTCTTCAAATTTCTAAGCCTGGCTACTGACCAGTAAGGCCGACTATCACATTGTTGGGCTAGTAGCGCATTGTTCGGTTAAGCTTTGCAAATAAATATAGAAGCCAACTGGTCACCATGGGCAACTGCTCCAGATTCTGTCTGCTCCAATGTTCTTAAATGCACCTCTTTGTACCTAATGTTCATGCACCTAGAGCTTCCTGCTTTGTGGTAACAGTGTTGGATTAGATACGTTCATCACTTCAGGATTACTATAATCTTTGCCTATAAACTCCAAATCCTACTCAGAAGAGAACAATTTCAACAAGCATTTACAAAGTATCTATGGGTACTAATAGATGATAATGGATAGGCAAATGACTGTTATAGCACAGCATCTACATCACTAGCTTTCATTTACACACATCTTTGGAGAAATGTTAATATTTATACGATCAGTCCCAGACACATTACATATTCTACTGAAATTTACCCTGCGGAAAGACACAACATAAAATGTGTCACCCCTTCTGCGGATGGCTTCCAAAAAGTCTTGGTAGCTTCTTGGTGAGGAGTAATAAATTTGCAGCTCATTTGAATTCCTAAAAAAACAAAGTAGGAAAAGGGTAAATATTTGCACTGTATACGATTTATATAGTAACCAGACACATGACAAACACACATTCATCATTGTCTCAAAACAGAATGGACGATTTTACATGCAGTTCTCTATTCAAAGCTAAGAAAATATCACAGTGCACTTCATTGTAATACCAGTATCTCAGCAACAGTTGATATCCCACATTTCCATACCTTATCAGGTTTTGCTAAACGTAAAAGGAAAAACATGATAGTTTCTGGTATTTATTTTAGTGAAACTACACAACATTACAGGACAGTGTTTATAAAGCATGCTGGGATTTCTTATAAGACACCCCAGGGTCTCAACCCCCCAACTCTATTCAAGCTTGGCTTCTCCATTTTTACATAAATGGCCTCTTTCACACCAGTCCTCCTCCCTGTCTAGGATGCGTACTTGACTGCCTTCAAAGGAGTGTCCTTTTTTTTTTAGATGTAGGTTTACTGCTGAATCCTGACCAGATGAACAACATTGTGTATGCAGTCCAGTGCAGTGAGGAGTGCTCAGAATTGTATGTCGGTGAAACAAAACAGCAGCTACACCAGCGTATGGCACAGCATAGAAGAGCAAAACCCTCTGGTCAGGATTCGGCAGTGTACCTACATCTAAAGGAAAAAGGTCACTCTGAAGACAGTCAAGTACGCGTCCTAGACACGGAGGAGGACTGGTTTAGAAGAGGTGTGAAGGAGGCCATCTATGTAAAAATCGAGAAGCCAAGCTAGAATAGAGTTGGGGGGGTGGGGGTGGTTGATGAGACATCTTTTGTCTGCCACATACAATGCTGTTTTAACACCTCTCTGGGCAGGTTAATAACACCACCTAGACTCCAATTATGCAAATGCAATCAAAACCTGGTTGTGAATAACAGATTATGTGGATTGGAGAAACTTTCACCATATTTATTCACGGATAATTTTTTGTACAAGTCATTCTGAATTGAGAAAGCTGGTTGGATGGCCAGTGAAATGTCTTGAAGGAAAAATACAGCAATTCCAGTTGCCTTGACATTTTTTTACAGATATATCATGACCTGGATGAATGAGAACCTTCACAGACATGTAAATAAAAAGGGATCATATTTTGCTTGACCAGACACAATGACTTTAGCCTATCTAAAGTACGTATTCTCCTGGAACTGGTGAGAAAACCGGTCACAGTCAGAAGGACTGGTCATACCATATGGCCCTGGAAAATAATAGTTACATTGCGGTTTTTGCACTGAAAGCCTGAGAAGAGGATATAAACTTTCTTCCACTGGTAAACATTTTACAGTCCCACTTTCCCCATTTACATGGTAGGAAAATCCATTAAACAATGAATAGCTTTGCAAGCAATGTGGGTTTAGAAATATTGTGAAATGATGCAGGTAATTTGCCCTCCATAATTTAGATGGCTGGCAGATCACTATAGGAGTTCTTGAAAAGACCCCAATATTATTACCTGCATAAGGGACTGTGGGTGTATTTAGAAGGGCAGACATAACAGCTTTAGATTACAAGTACCTTACTTTTGGCAGATTCTTTTAAGAAATATGAACATTTCTTGGAGATTTATAATAAAACCTAAGAGCACCTGCCATGTGGTTCCTTACGTTGTACATATACTGTGTATTTGTATGGAAAAAAGGTGGCTGCCGAGTGATCCTCATAACATGATTAAATATTGATACAGTTGGCAAGTTTGCTTATTACTGCAACTACAAGTAATATATGTAAATGGCCACTAGATAAATGGCAGGATCTACTGGATCACATATACTTGGCTGGCTTGTTATTTTGGGACTAATAGCCTAAGTTATAAACAGGTTTGGATAGCATATCAAATTAAAACTGGGCGGGGCTGGGCTGGGCTGACAACCACCAAACTGCGATCGGTTGTTAGCCAACAGGCTTTAGGAGCTGACTGCGTTTCTGGCAGATTCTGGCAGATCAGGTATTTTTCTGTACTTGCTGGGTCTTTAAGGGGATAAAATATGGTAAATGTGCATGTGTTGCAGAGATGTACTGAATATGTTTTTCTTTTTTTTTTAAGAATTAAGTTCTAGATCATGTTTATTACAGCAATATTTTTTTTCCAAGTTCTTCATTACCTTTATTATTTGACAAGGGTGAGGAATTTTGTTTTCAACAGCCTAAGCTAGAGCAACAACAATGTATTTTATGCCAATATACTGTACACACTGACAGATATCAAATAGTACCCTCTATTTTCAGTAAATAAAAAAGTAAAGTTTAGAATTAGACAAAAAAAAACAACTTACTTTAAACTTGCATCTGTGTATTGCATTGTTACCAACTGTGATGCATCACCTTTCCCATCTTGCTTCTAAACAAGAAAAAAAAAGAAAATAAATGTTAGTTATTGAATGTTAGTTAGGCATAGCACTTCCTATGCTCCTCAATTCGATCTATTAAAAATAATGCGCTGAGAATGTTATTTGTACAGCTATATGGCTTTGTGTGCCCACCATGACACTTGTGCCTTAGGTTGCTGACCCCTGCTTTATGTTATACAAAGAGAGAGAGACAGATGAAAAGTGCAGGAGGAACATATAATCTTGTGATGCTGTGCACATCTCAATCTTCCCCTAAGGTTACCTACAATCCTGAGAAAGGCAGATGCATACATTCAACAAAATGTTTTCAATACCCCAATTCCCAATCTCAACAGTTGTTTGCTCCCTTTCAGTAGAAAAAAAAAAAAAAGAAGATAGTAACGCATTGTCCATGCAGTGTCAAAATGTGGGAGGATGAATGAAGGAAAAAAATGGATTACAGTCTAAAGGGGCATATGTACAAAGCAGTGAATGTGACATTTACCAAACATCCACTGCAGGTGTATCTTGTTGATGCATGCGTTTTAAATTGCAGTGATCAATTCCCCTATTGTATATTGAAGGTTTGGTAATGGTCACAATGACTTTATGAATATTCCCCCAAAATCATCAGATACTTTCTCACCTGCATTGCTTGAGCTTTATGCGTACTGATTGTCCGCCTAGTCTTTGTTCTCTCAGCTTCATGTCTGTGGACCCAGCCACGCAGTTCTTGGTTCAGCCTGTAAAACGATAATAAAAGCAATAGGTAATAACTAAATACTTTTTGTTATGGTGACAAAACTTACATTTCCTTTAGAACAAAAAGCATTATGGAATGCATAAATCTGTAATGTCTCTAAACTGAAACGTTTGGAAGGTTTTTTTTGCAGGACGTCTATAGACTCGGTAGACCACCAGCTATTCAATAACTTGAAGAGCCTTAAATAATATGGAACCTTAGTGAATGTAAAACACATTCCTGCAAATATGTAGGTTTGTCAAACAAAGCTTTCTCAAAAGAAGTGTTTGTAGAATAGATACCAGTGCTGTTCAATAAAATCCTCTGAGTAAACCAAAGGGGCCACATGTTAAAGTTAGCGTTGGTACATATTTGTCAATTCTTGCCATATCAAAATCAAACAATTGCAGAGGCTGTAATTCCAGAATAATCTGCTGTTATCAGCAGTAACACTGGTGGGTTTAGGCCCCATTCAAACTTGCGATCACACGCGTCTCAGAATCTGTGTCCATGTTCGGTCATCCACAGGGAATTGCAGCCTGTGCAATTACATGTGAACAGGCTGTGAACAACTGCGGGCAGTGGTAGCTGTCATTGTATTATACAGCACCTCATGTCTGCAGCAGATTGCAAGATTCCCCCAAATTCCTCTGTAGACTGTTTGCAGGTGTGAATGGGGCCATATTTAAAAATAGTACTAAAAAGCTTTTTTAGTAAAGGTAGACTATACTATACATACAGAGAAAGGAAAATGCCAATAATGTTTTAATCTTTTTGCTTCATTTTTGTTTTGGGAATTGTACTTGATGGACTAATGTCTTTATTCAACCTCAAATACTATGTAACTATGTAATATGATACAGGGAGCATGTGTAAAGTGTGGTACCTTAAATAAAGAGGTAATTTCTGGTCATTCAACTCATACGCTAAAGATATAAATGCACCTGCATCTTGAAGACTAGATAAGCTCCCAGGATTAAACTTATCAGGTATGAATCTCTAGGTCATGTGGGCTAGCTAGTGAGAACTCCCAGGATTTAACATTATCCGGTAAGAATCAACTAGCAGCCCTTGGTAGCAGAATCTCTTCCAAGAAAAAAACAAACTAAAATGATAAAGCAGAAGAGAAATAGACATCTATTCTCCTGAGGTGGAAGGGGGTCCTTAAAGTGACAGGCTTTTCCGAGTGTCCATTTCTCCTGGAGGCAGCAACATAACCCTACATCTCAGAGCTGTGTCCCTCAATGGACGATATAGAAAATATAGCTGTCAAATGAATGTGAGGTTTTAAAATGTTTACGGTTATTTCCCTAGCATCTTGAGAGATTCAACAGAAATCATTCAAAACAGAAAAATATTTCCTGCTCTGCGTTTCCCTATTATTGCAAATATTTGCATTAAAAAACACAAGCATCAGTCCCCTAGTTAATATAAAACCAATTAAAAGATAATTAGAGCCAGGCAACCAAACATAGCCCAGCTTGCCTACAGACAGTCCAACTCAATATAATCCTCGCTGCCTCTCATCTGTAAAGTTGTCGGTGCAACAAGCAGATAAAGTTCTGTTGACAGCTGTCAGTCTGGAATGAACTAAAAAGTCATTTTTAAGACTTTGGGACTCTAAAACTCCACAATAAAAAACATTCTTTATGAATGGAAAACTCTTCTAACAGTTAATCTTCCCAGGAGTGGTCAGGCCTGCCAACATTTCTCTCCAAAAGGGACAGTATTATATTAGCCAAGAAGTCACAAAGCATACAAAAACACCTCAATAACTGCAGGGTTTTGTTACTTTAGTCATCAGACCGGTGCTGATGACTCAAGGAATATAGGATTCCCTGGAAAGCACAGCAAAACTATTGCTAAATAAGGGAGCAAATAAATTATTTGCTAGGAAACATAAGGACGATATACGAGTCTTTTAGGAGAATGTTCTAAATGCAAATGAGACAAATGTCAAACTTACTGCTCTGCATGGGAAAAGCAGAGACTTGCTTTACCCAATTACAAGCTTTAAGCTGGTCAAAATTCAACCGCTGTTTGCCCCCCTGCTGGGTACCCCCCGTTCAACAAAAGTCGATTTTTCAAATCAACTTTTGTTATAGGAGCCAGCCTAGTCTTGACCAAAGACTGACTGCAGTCAATCTGCTGCAACAGAGGTTAGACAGTCAGAGGTGACTAGGTCACTGTAGGTGGGCAGCAATTACCAACCAGGGAGAATCCCCATGTCTCTTGAGATGATGAACAGAGGCAAGAATGTGATGCCTATCCAGTGTGCAGGCAGGCTCCTGGGAGTAAAGGCAGCAGCGCTGTATTGCCCACATAAAGTGGGTATGTGGAAGACAGAAAAGGGCAGAGTTCTGTAGTCCAGCATGGGAGAACTCAGGCAAAGCTGATAACATTGCTTGTGATTTCAGAGCAGCAGCTGTAATATTGCCATCACCAGTTTTTTATGCATATATTATAGAAATGTATGGCATTTTTTTTGCTAAGTATTGTAAGTATTGTGCAGGCATCTGATTAGTCCCAGATTAGTCCTTAAAGAGATGGTATGGTCCCCACAGAGCCCTGATCTCAACATCATTGAGTCTGCCTAGGAGAACATGAGATACAATCCAGTTAAACTGCATTAATCCACAGAAGAACTGTAGTTAGTTCTTCTAGATCAGGGGTCTCAAAGTACCGGCCCGTAGCCAGCTGACAAGTCCGGCACACTGTCACGGACCGCTTGCCTGACTTGCGGGAGCAGCTACACTGTTTGCATCTCTGTTGGATGCAGACCGCAGAGCTGCTCCTGCTCCTGTCAGAGCTCCGGCACTCACTAACTCTGTTCGGCCGGAGCTCTGGGGGGGGGAGTGTATTATTATGTGTTGGGGGGAGAGCGATGGAGGTTGCGTCACCATAATATCAGATGTGTTTGGCGGGCCTCGATGCCGATTGGCTGGGAACCCGGCTTCCCGGCCAATCAGCATCATGCCGGCCAAACAGAATGGACTCGATAAAAAAAAACGGTATAGGTGCATCTCTAGTCTTATGTGTATTATGTGTGTCGGTATTCTTATGTGTGTGTGTGTGTGTCGAGTGTATGAAGTGTGAGGGGGGCTTGGAACGGAGGAGGGGAAGTGTATTATTATGTGTGCAGGGGGATTGTAACGGGCAGAGTGTATTATTTTATGTGTGTGTGTGTGTGTGTGTGTGTAGGGGGGGGGGGGGGGGGGGTTGGGGGGGGGGGGGGAGATTAGTGAGTGTGTGGGAAGTTGTATTTTTCTGTGTGTGTGTATATTCGGCCCCATTCACACCTACTGTATATTTCAGGTGCAATTAAGGATCCCTGTGTCACAAACGTACGTTTTCCTGCAGCAGGAATCCCTAATCTGGCATTTACATGCAGCAACTGTCACCCATTCAAGTCAATGATCAGGTGACAGACACTGCATGTAAATGCCTGCACACTGCATGTAGTGGAAGGTGATATGATTACATGCAGTTACAAAAACAATCACTCTCCCTGGATACACATCCAGGGAGAGTGATTGATTCCTAACTCCTTTCACATATAATTACATGTGGTATGCAGGCGTTTACATGCAGCGGCTGTCACCTGATCAGTAACTTGAATGGGTGACAGTTGCCGCTTGTAACGTGTGCAGACATTAACACTGGTACCGTATATTAGTTACATTTTATTTTGAAGCATGACATTTGGTAAACGGTCCCTAAAGGACTGAAAAGTGTGTCCAGTGGCCCCCCAAGTAAATTGAGTTTGAAACCCATGTCCTAGATGTTTGGAACACCCTACCTACCGAGTTCCTTAAATTGTGTGCAAGCTTTCTTCTGTGTATGCTCTATGCAGGTTGATAATACAAATACAAACTCTTCATTTCATAGTTTTATGTCAAGGAAACTTTGTTTTTTCACAAGTACACAAAGGCTACACTTCCGCTAAGGCTCATGACTAAGCCCTCGCTAGCAAGAAACATAACAAAGGAGTAGTAGAGGGTCTAGCAGTGAGTGATGTGCGAGTCTGGCTTTGTAAACTTGCATTACGTGCAATAAAGCTTGCTGAGCAAAAGTGCAGCCTGTTTGTCTGTATTTGAATACTGCAGGGAGTATCCCAGTGGGTATGCACCCGTGGCTCACTGATGATCTGTAAGACCACCTGGAGTGGTCATATTCTTCTGTATTTTCTCACAAGTGCCTAAAACTTTAGTACAGTACTGTATACTTCAAACATTTATTGCCCAGGGACTATTGCTGTCCACAGTACTCCATTTTACTCTCTGTAGAAAATAATGACAGTAGCCAACCAGCAGATGACAGTGCAACAAATAAACCATGTTAATAGTATACACATAGCTACCATATATACTCGAGTATAAGCCGAGTTTTTCAGCCCATTTTTTGTGCTGAAAAATGCCCCCCTCGGCTTATACTCGAGTCAGCGTCTCGAGCACTGAGGAAAGTGGTCAGGTTTCTTCGTACTTACCTCGCCGAGTGTCGTGTCACTGCTGCTCCGGTGGGCGGCGCTCCAAGCGGGGTCATCTGGCAGTCTCCGGGTCAAGAGTATATACGGTACACTTATAGGAGCTGTGAGTGTCTGCTTTTTAAGCCAAATCCAGTTTCTTTGTCAAAATCAGTGGTAAAAATAGCTATGGGGGGGTACGGACAAGACTACTTTTTATCTTCCTTGCGCCTCATTGCTATCTCTTTATTGAAGCTCTTCTTTGCTGAATATAGAGTGATTTTGTAGAATAAAAAGTTAAATGGATTAGATCAAAGTAGTACTGATATTTAAACTCCAAGGCCCCAGGAGGAGGTTAAAAGGCCCATATGTGGCTCGTGGGATACAAGTCGAATACCACCACTTAAGGAGTTTAAATGATAGTGGTTACAAAATTGGAAATATTTCTTTTTCTCACACACATAAGACATGATCTTAAGGAAACAACTGAAATTAGATGCCAAATCTAGATTGTGGGGGCAGAGAAACGGCTTTTTATTTTACATGCCTGAACTGGAGTTCATGTATAACTTTTCCCATGTAAATGGAAAAATCAGGCTAACATGAACAACCGATGAATCATATGTATGCTTCACATATATGGCTAAAGAACACCAGAAAAGAAAAACTGTGGAAAAATGTTTGCTTCAACACATTAGCAATGTAATGAACAGCTTACACCATCTGCTGGTCATTGCACAGCACTGCAGCCCAGGTCTCTTCAGTGCAGAGCGCATTAGTGAACTTTAAAGGGTTTCTAAACCCTCCTGTGTTTTTGCATATATCTACTGCTAGCAAGCAGTAGATATATGCAAAATGAAAAAAAAAAAAAGCTTTAAAATCGGTTTAAACTTACCCGTCTTCGCCGCGCGCTCCCATCCGAAAATGCTCGGTCGGCCGCAAAGCATATTGGGGCGGGCGCATTCGCAGTTCGGATTTTCGGCCGGGAGACGAGGAGACACACAAGGTAAGTCACTTTAATTTAAGGCCACAACTGGAAGACTATGACACATCAGCAGTTGGTCCGTAATGCTCATGTCCTGAATAGAGATCAGTCAGTCTTCGATTTCTGTTCATATCTTAAATCAATTCTGTAAATTGTGTAAACCACATTTGTGCTTGGTCCTGTGGTTATTCTGATAATCAGTCTGTTACCTCTACCATTGTCAGTCATTACCCCTCTGTCTGTCTGTAACCTTGACTATGTTTAGGATTGTTTTGTCTGTGCCTGATCTAACCATCAGCCTGCTGTCACTCGTTTACTCTGACCATGGTTTTTGTCCTGCTTGTTAGCCAGATGTTGCCTTTGGAGACACAGTGGGTCTACTATGCTATGCTGAGTTCTGGGTCATCGGAGGACATTACTATATGTCCTCCCGTGACCCTAAAGAGAACTATGGGCAAAAAAGATTTCCTCATCGTTCTTTAAAATGGTGCAGACTGTGAAATTTTTACTAATGCAGCACACAATGATTCACAATGCATATTCCCGTCATGGTCACTGCGACATAATAGATAATGTCACAATTTGCAACTTTGTGACAATTTTGATCATTTCCCTGTCGCAATCTCTCACTCTGCACCACCAATAGTTAAATCAGGCCCATTATCTACTATATTGCCGTGACCATAGTTTAAAGGAGTGCTGTGCCACCTACTGCCTGGCACACTATGCGTTTATTCAATGTACCCAAACATATGCAATCATTTACAATTTCATCTATCTCACAAGTAAAAACGGTCTCAACCCACACGGTTTTACATTTTGAACCACTGATATTATATGGGTCTTTTTTACTAACCTAAGGGTTTGTGTTTGGTTGATAAGGGGTCGACAAGGAGGAGAAGGAGGAGGAATGTAGAGTAACGGCTCCTCTTTCACAATCATCAATGCCTTTTCAGTTGAAATAAAGTCTCGAGGTCTAAAAGCCAGAAAATAAAACAAGAACTCAAGGTTTATTATACATGATGCAATGAAACCATCAATGCGAGTGATTCAAGCACGCCATTCAACAATCAGGTTATGCAGATTTGCAGTAAAAGAAAAAAACTTTACAAAATCATAAGAAATTATAGCACAAACACATATTCCAACAAACTAAAAAAACATCTATTTTTTTTTGAGAAATAAAAGAGAATGAAGTTTATACTGCGCATGTACCATGCTTATATGCTGACAGAATTAAGAATAAAACGGAGCAATCGGATTGCACAATCTCAGTACATTCCTTTTGTCATGTAGCTCGAAGACTCCAATCCTTTTTGCTTATATCCAATCAGGCTTTAGCATAGAAAATTGATATAAAGTCCACAGAAGAATAGACATTTTAATATTTGTCATACAATGTGTGTGCTGTAATTAAAATGTTTAAGTTTTGCATATAATAATGGAGTTTATATTATCTTGTTTTAGGAAATACTGCAATCAGAATCTCACAGGTGTGGACAGCTTAAAGTATAACTCCAACCAATATATATTTTTAGGATAGAGTAGGGAAGAGATAACATTTCTGCAAGGTTTTTATTTCAGTTGAAGACCCCATTGGGGAGATTTCCCTCACTTTCTGCCCCTGTGACAAGAAGGCACAAAAATAAAACAATACTGTGAGGAGTAAAAAATATGTTTTTGTTTGTGTTCCCATTGGATAGATTTCTCCCCAGTAGGGTCACAAACTCCATTAAAAACCTGAGGGGCTCTCTAATCTATGGGTCATATGCAGAATATTAAAATAATGTAGTAGGAAGCCAGGTAGGCAGTCAACTACACTTTTAAAACATATAGGTTTACTGTTTTGCCTTTAATTCTGTACAGCCAGCATCATCGCTTCCAAGGAAACAGTAAAGCTGAACCAGCAGTGATCTTCCAGGGTGTGCAATGTGTAAATCACAAAATGAATTGTGCAGGTAAGATAATAAACATGTAAGTACTTAAACTGTCAATTTAGATCATTTTTTGGACAACTATGACAAAAAAAACAGCAAGTAAAAAGGTTTTAACACATATTTAGAAAACAAATATTGCACAGATGTGTAATAATTCTTTTTTGCACCAAACGAACAATTGAAAGCCTCTATTTCACGTTGTCTATTTTATCAAGATTTGTTAATTCATCACTGCCGCAAAGGGCCCCTTTTGTTTTGCGGTCTGATTCATAGAAACTTACTGTTAACACCAGCTAAAAGGAAGTTATATTTTTAAAGGCAAGAACATGTGGGAAAATCTTTAGGAATTGACTATTATATAGAGAAATGTGAAAATGTTGATATCATGGCGAGCGTGCAATAAATTCAGCAGATACTTGCATAAACCTTTAGGAAGCTCGTAAAAAAAATTTTTGATCAATAAATAAGCAATACAATCATAGGGAGTGAAGATATGGTGGGATTTTGTGAACGGATATTTATGTTGATTTTTGTTGTTGTGTATAATGACATTTTTGGTGTTCAATACATTATTGGGTTTGTAATTTTACATCAAGTAAACATAAAATTATTTTCCAAAAGCAATATAAAAGCTCCTAGAACATTGAAACAAGAACGTCAACATTTGTTAAGATTTGAAGCTTTAGGGATTGCCATTGAGCGAAAGTTATTTCGTATAAACCCAACATAGGGTTAGGTGCAGTGAAAAGAACCACAAAGTAAAAAGGGAGGGTTGGGAGAAGGACCTAACACAAGATCAGGAATAAGGTTCAGGGGTAGGAGGGAGAACTAGGTAGGAAGGGAAGAACAAGAAAAGGAGGTACAGAGGGGAGGATGGGGAACTGTGATGTCTCCCTTGGCGCAAAAACGATAACTTCAAGCAAACTGGTTCACATGCTTAAGCAGTCTTTGCAGAAATTAGAAAGGAAGAAGTGTTCTATACATGGTGTAGAACAATTTTTTTTTTTCTTTAATGGACCATGCTTTCACCTGCTAGTACCACATTACATTGCTCATGCCTGTCTTTGCACAATTCACTCACTTTATTCTGCAATATATATTTTTTTTAAAACACACAACAAACTGGCTGGATAGTCGGTGTAGTCCAGCGATCTATTTTAATACCCTATTCTTCAGAAATAAAGCCGTGTACAATACGTGGCAATTTTCAGAATATATCTTCTGAAATGGTCTGTGTCTCATTACAACCTGTCCTTTTTAGCTCCATTCTATTACCTATTAAAAGTGACCATTATTTCCTGACTAGGTAAAAAGCATTAACTATTACAGAGCGCCGATGTGTCCCTTTAATAGCGTTATCTGGTGTTTACAAGATGTGGTTGCCCCCCCGAAGTATCTTGTCCATTTACACTGTTTCTAGAATTATGTGAATACAAAGGCAGAGTATTCAGGTACATGTTGGCAGAGGAATGCTCGGTAAAGGGACAAAGGAACAAAGAAAAAGGATCCCATCCTTTTCATCAGCGAATCCATCACTTTTCACTACTGAGTGCACAGTGGAAAAGGTGACAAATTAGTGGAGCAAGACAGCTAAAAAGGGAGGATTACTATGTATGCGTACTTTCTAAATGCGCGAGATACAAAAAATCTTCCTAATTTTTTTGCAATAGTTGCCCTTTAACCTTACCATATGGCAGGCCTCAAAATTTCCACTCGCCCCCTCGCAATTGGCGAGTGAAAATTGCGTGGGGGCGAGTGGAAACTCATCGAGGAGCGCCGCCGGTGGGACCAGAGATGGGACATTACCGCCACGGCGATTGCTTACTTCTGTTCTCTTCTCATCTGCCGCTGCAGCTACAGAGCGGCCGACAAGGAGAAGAGAGAACACAAGCGAACGATCGCGGTGGCGGTAGTGTCCCATCTCTGGTCCAGCCGGCGGCACTCCTCGATGACATCCGCTGTCTTCTGCAGCTTCCTCCGCCCACCTCAGCTGCCAGGCTGGGATGAAGATTGCAGAGACAGTGAGACCAGCAAGCCAGAAAGTTATGCAGCAGGGGGAAAAGAGGATACATGGACGATCTCTGCACCGCCCCACCACCACCAGGAGAGAGGGATCCAGTTACTTAATTCAGCAAACCCTTTTTCTACTGTGATTAGAACTATGCTCTGTCAGCTCTACACCTTGAATTCATCATTCTTTCACATGGAGAAATAAGGGGCAGAACTGTTCCGCTTTATACAGATGTATGCCTTAATAATAATTAAGTATATGCTGTGTAGGTCACTGACTCTAGATCGGCTGATCTTCCAATGAGTAACGGGGATGGGAGTGGGCCACTTTACAGCATACGCAGTGCATACAACACGGGACAAATACACTCACTCCATAGCAGAAAGAACACCAGTATACTAAATGGACTGGTAAACCCTGTGCTTGTTGGCTAACAGGAAAGATGCAGCAGGATTTCCAACATCCAGGCTGAATTTGCCATAAGCGTTTGATGGTAGAAAAATCTTCTAATTCAAGCAAAAAAGATGTCAGAAAGGATAGAGACATCAGTTTACCTAGGACACCAAGCAAAACTGGGTACTAGTGAGAGTTTAGCCTCAAAGTGGCTAACCTTCAGGATTCTATGTGCCTAGCGTCCATTTCTCCTGTTAAGTGGCAGTATATTTCCTGGTTTCTTACAATCAATTGGTGCTCCTTAATGGATGATAGAAAGTTTTCTCTATTTAGCCATATAAATCCTAAATTACATAAGGGTTTGTATTTGCAGTCACTAAAAACAAACTGTAGGCTAGAACTAGTTTTTGGGTAGTTCACTGTTAAGCTGTAAGTAGACTGAATATGCTATAGCATGACCAAGCTAGCATTTATTTAACTGGAATACACACCCAGCTGGATAGCTCAGAGAAGGAACACATCCTCGTGCTGGGAGATAGCAGCGTCTCAGTCCATTATACTTATATACCGATTTATTTAAAAAATCAAATGGAAGTTTTTCTCTTTAAAACTAGACACAAGTAGTTCACAAGACCTGTAACTAACTAACTAAGACCTTTACACATGTAGTCCGCTTACATCCAACTGCCCTTAAACCTAACATGAGTCCGTTTTGTAGTTTTTTTTTACTCCATCTCTATATGAAGAAAAAAAACTCAATGGACACAGATATCACAAAATTGACATCTATTCCTTACTGTTCCAATCAGCAGAGGATCTGCGCATGGACACCCTGCTGATCGGAACAGACGTCTCCCATGTGAAAGGGCTCTATGTGTATTATAAACTCTAATTCTGGTCATACACCAGTAAAATTTCACTCAAAACATTTTCAGAACATTTGTTGGATTATCTAATAATGAATCAATATGACCATCGTTTTTGACCATAGTGCCGGAAAAACTGAAGGAAGTGAATGTGGTTTTAGTTTGAGAGACTTTATTATTTTGCTAAAATCTCTGATTGCATTATTGAATGTTCCGACAAGAGTTTTCTTATGAACGTTCCTGAGAAAATCTACCAGTGTACGGCCACCTTAAGCCTTACCTGCATTTAAATCAGCGACAGAACCGTGTAATTAACACGCCTAGAGTTGTACAAGTTGTAATTAGCAGGCTAGAGTTGTACAAAAAACAAATACAAATATTACTTCTCCAAAATATGGAAATGCAAAGCAATATCAACCTCATGTCAACTGTGTAAAATACAATATAAAGTTACAAATTTAAAAATAAACATGGAAACTCATAAAAAGTACCTGAAATCATTTTGTGGGGTATCCTTTTCTTTCATGTTGGCTTCACCAGGTGAAAACTCAAGCAGGTGTCTATTATGGTTGACAGACCTCACCTCCATATCAAATTCCCCAGAAGTGGATTGTAAAACACTATTAGAAAACAGACAGTGTAAAAATAGCAATTCCACAATAAAAAAAATATGAATAAACTATTGTTAAAAAAAAATGGTCTGAATGCCACAGAGAATGCAGAAAAAGCAGTGAGCACCAATGTGAAATGTTACACACACACACACACACACACTGTATAATTGCTGGTAATATGGGCCTTGACAAAGTTGGGTTGTGCCTCATTGAAACATTAGAACTCAAAAATAAACAGCACTCCTCTTGTCAAGTCCTGTAAGTGCCCATAAAACCTACAATTGTATGAATCTATTCATGTACTGCACTCTGGTAGGTATCCCTATAGTTGAGCGTGGATACTTGCAAAGTACATTATATACACATACACTAATATATATATATATATATAAATAATCACACACACACACACACAATAAAATAGTATGTTACCTAAGTGGGTTGAAATTCAGCATTAAAAATACAGCCACCATCATCAGGCAGACAGCTCTCCTCTTTGGAGCAGTAACTTTAAGTTTCTGATTCTGCATAAGAATACATGAATGACAGTCTTTGTTAACAAATTCATCAAGTGCTAGTATTTAAAATTAAACAAATATGCTTTATTAGAGGACAACTAAATGTAACAATTACCACCTGTATAACCTGGTCCAAGTGCACACCCAAAACAAATTTCCATGATATTTATACACACAGTTGCTTTGAGTAAATAAAAGCATTGAGTAGAAGAAAAAGTTAAAATGCTGCCGAAATAAATAAATCACTGTGAGAATAGCTACATGAACGAGCTCCCGTCAAGGCCCATTCACACCAATTGCAGTGTGTTCCAGAGCGGCAGCTGCTGGAATGCACAGCAATCACTTACAAAACTTCCCACTTTGATCTGGGGCGGGAAGGGGTGTGACGTTGCATTAAAGTCAATAGCACTGCAGCCACGCCCCCCCAGTGCAAATCGGACGCGTGGCAAAACATTGCATGCGCTCCGGCCCACCGCGAACGCAAAAAAGAGAGAATGCAGCATTTTTTGTTTTCGCAGTGGACCGGAACGCAGGCAGTTTTGCCTCGAGTCCGATTGCACTGCGGGCGGGGCTGCGGTGCCATTGACTTCAATGCACCGCTACTCCCCCTCCCGCCCCAGAACGAAGAGGGAAGCTTAGTGAGCGATTGCTGCGCGTTCCAGCAGCTGCTGCTCTGGAACGCACCGCAATTGGTGTGAATTGGCCCCCAGGGCTAGTTCATACCAGCCAGTGCGTTCCAGCCCGATTGGGGCCAGAACGCACTGGATGGCATTACGGCCGGCTCACTTTGTTGTGGGGTGGGAGGGGGCATGACAGTGCATTGAAGTGAATGGCACCGCAGCCACATCCTCTGGCCACAATGTGATCGGACGCACGGGAACACATGGCACATCAATGCCTGCGTTACGGTCTGGTCAGCATTATTTCTGACCAGACCGGAACGCAGGCATTGATGTGCCACACGTTCCCAATGCAGCCAATCGCACTGCGGCCGCAGGGAATGGCTGCGGTGCCATTAAATTCAATGCACCACCACGCCCCTCCCGCCCCAACACAAAGTGAGCCAGCCGCAATGTGATCCAGTGCGTTCTGGCCGGAATTTTGTGCAATATTCTTATACTATAATTTTGTGCCATATACTTATTAGAAAACAAACATTTTTATGCTGGCTAATTCTACCCAATAGATAAAACATAATAAAAGGGGTGTAAATACAACATTAGAAAAAAAAAAAAAAAAAAAAGTTAATATTTATGAAAAAAACATGGTTAAACTAATCCACGAGATTAAAAAAAAAAATAGTTCTCATGATACTGCTGCTATAACAATTAGCTATTGCTGTTCCTCCCATCAGTAGGGATCAGTTACATGTAACAAAGTTAACCGACAAAATTATTCTATACACCAACTTGCAGTCACCAGACATGCAACCTTCCTAAACTTTTCAATCTCCTGACATTCAGCAGGAAAGAAACCCTTGCTATGCTTCCCCTTGAAGACTGAGCAATCTGCAGACCCAGTGGCATGATCACTGGGTCTGATTTCAACTCTTACTTGTTGCCACCAGAGGAGTCAACAGAGTGTGCGAAGGGTTAAATAGGTGGTAATGGTGGAGACCCCCTATGATTGCTGCATTTGAAAGGAAGGCATCTGCATGTTTTCAAAACCAATGCTACAACACCGTATTTACACTGAGTGGCCAGATTATTATGACCACCTAACGTTTGTAGGCAAATTAGCTATAATTGATCTGAAGATATGGGTAAACAACGCGATTTAACAGCCTTTGGACGTGGGATGATTGTTGGCGCTCGGAGCCATGGAGCGAGTATCAGCAAAACAGCAGAATTAGTTAAATGTTCAAGAGCAGCTGTTGTTAAAGTGTTTAAAGACTGGACTGTCAGCCGAAAATCTGGGTCTAAACGTGCGAATTGTGGCCGTCAGCGACTAGTCAATGTTAGGGCAGAACGGAGAGTGGCAAGACTGGTACAAGACAACAGAAGGGCAACAGTGCATCAAATTACTGCAGATCTTAATCAGGGATCCTCTCAAATGATCTCTGAACGCACTGTTCGCCGTACACTGCATCAAATGGGATATGGAAGCTGAAGGCTATTCATCAGGCATGGTGTCAGATTCCTCTCATCACCTTTCAACATCTCGTGGAGTCAATGCCAAGAAGAATTGCCGCAGTATTGAAGGCAAAAGGTGGCCCAACAAAGTACTGGTGGGGTGGTCATAATAATCTGGTCACTCAGTGTTTTAATTTACAGTGAATGGGTGTTACTAGACAAGCTGCATTAGTTTGCAGATCACAACATATAATGCCCACTAGTGACACTGGCACCATTATGATAACTACGAGAGTATCCCTTATGCCCAGGACATGCTGGACCCAATCCAGAGGTTTTAACTCACTAAATTGAGAGGAGACCGTATAGCATGATAGCAGAGCAGTGGCTTCACTTTCATCAGGAGAGAATAAATAATTCATTTAAAAGGTAGATGTATATTATGCTGGAGTTGGGCTTTAATTGAGCAAAATAATAAATAGGTATTTTTGCATTTCTCTAGGAAATTCGACCCCTCTCTCTCCCCAATATATTTCTAGCATCATATTGTAGGCTTGATGAAATGCATTTACTCTCTGACAGTAAAGCTACGGTATAGCTAAATGAAGGTATCAGAAGGATACAACTAAGGTACTCCTTCACCTCTTGACTATTCCTTTCTGCCAGAGGATTTAGTTAGTCTACATTGCATATAAGACAACACAATAAAATGGTATGTAGACAAAAAATAGAGTGGCCCTAATGCCATTCATTACCTCAGATACAACTTCTTCCAGCAGTTTTTGCAAAGAGCCATTTTCTTTTTTGAGCCTTTCATTGTCAGACAATGCTGCTCTCAAGCGCACTTCCAAACCCTGCATGTACTCCTTCTTTTTCCTTCTAGACTGGAAGGCAGATTCACGATTTTTTATCATTCTTTGCTGCCGCCGTATAACGCTTATCTGTTAGAAAAAGTTTTAATAAAGATTTAATATGGATTAGGATCAACAATAAAAAATTTAAAAAAAACAGTGCATGCAACATACTGTTTGGATAGGGGCTGCTCTGGGTGAATCTGTGATGAAAAATGATTTCATTTAGGATATTTTCTTCAGTCAGTATAATATACAGGGCTATGAGAAATTCTAAACTCAATGGGAGATTGATCCAAAGATTTATCGCCATTATGGGGTCAGGAAGTGATTGTTTCCCCTCTTACTGCAAACTGGACTATGCATGTATTTTTATTTTTTGGCATTCCACTGAATCAAACACACACGTTGATCTCAATGGAACTGTATCTTTCTTCATCCTTATCTACTAAGTAACAATGTTCTTACAAAGTTTTACATATTATACTGAGAATATAAACACATTGAAAGAAAATTATAATAGTTTTGGGTCGTTGGTTTTTATTTTTTGTTTAAAAATAAAATTTATAAATTTTTTAACCATTGTTTTCTATAATGTTTTACTATATACAGTACCTAAAATGTTTGTTTTCACAAATAAACATTTAATACATGTAGGAGTCCCAGAGCACTGTGGGCTAGCTAAGGACAACAAAGCAGCTTGCTCTAAGGCAGAGTCTGTGTAACTGAAATACTAAAGGTGCCCATACACCTTACGATTATCGTACGACAATCGTATGCGATCGACTTTTCGTACGACAATCGTAACGTGTGAATAGAGTGATGTGAAAAGGATGCAAAAGGCTTCACCTTGTTGCCCAGAAGCAGAAAGCAAAATATTATGATGACCTTCTTCATATACTACTTTACCTGACTAATAATAATGAATATTTAATAAATATATCTTTATATAATATATAAACAAAGATTTCCTAGGTGTTATTATAATTAAGGAAATTAAATTACTAAATAGTGATTTTTGTACATTAATAAAAAGCTTTGCCTTTTTATTAGGCAGATAGTTAAAAAAACAAAAACTTTACAAATAAGTTCAAATAAGCAATAGTAAATTATTATAATATGTTCCTTTAAACTGTACACAAATGCATTATCTGTTTCAAATGTACTAGCTCTCCACGCTCTGCTTGGGACAAAAGCATATTTGAAAATATTAACCATATTTTGTATTTAACTTCATAAGAGTAAAACGTTTCCTTGTTAGTTTATTGGACTGGCACACTATTGTTACTTTAGTGCCAGCTATTTTTAGTTTTGTACTGAGAAAATGTTGATGGCTTTTCCATTTTTCTGGCTCCCAGCAAAGATAAACAGCAATGCAGGTTTTTCAAATGGAACAAATCATCATACTAAATCAAAACGACACATCATAAAACAATGAGTAGCAGATCCAACTATGTTCTGTAAGTGTAAAAGAAATCCAGACGAAACCAACTGAACCAGAAAAGCCATCTGAACTTCGAAGAACATTGTGAAAACAAACACACCCAGCATATAAAAAATAAAAAAATGCTAAGAAAAAAAAAGTATTTATGAAGCAGAAAACTGCATGAACATACATGCATACGCACTAAGTATATATAATATACACACATATATAGAGTGAAGATAAAAAGTCTACACACTCCTGTAAAAATGCCTTAAAATTCTCCACATTTAATGTGACCTATAACCAGTACAATTTAATTTTTAAAAAAAACTGAAATTGTTTAGTGGAAAAAAACTGAAATAGTGCGGCTGAATGTGTACACACCCACTTATAATTAGGGATGTGGCTGTATTCTGAACAAACCACATTCAAACTGAAATTAAATAGTAGTCAGTACACATCTGCCATCAATTAATGGGACTCTGATTAAACCCATATAAAAGTTCAGCTGTTCTATTCAGATTTTACTGACATTTAAGCCAGCCATACACCTATAGATTATCGGCAGATTTTCTATGGTCAGATAGAAAAAAAGTGCAACAGATTCCTCCATCTACGCTAAACTGTGTGGATGGAGGAATCTCACACTGGGCCTGTGCGATGCGATCAAAATGCTACAAGCACTATTTTGATCGCATCGCACAGTGCCGGAACGCAGGCACAATGTGCCTTGCGATCCCATGCGGCAGATCGCATTGCGGCCGGAAGGTGTGGCTACGGCGCCATTCACTTGAATGGCCCACCAAGCACCCTCCTACCCCACTAAAAAGTGAGCCGGCCGCAATGTGAGGCAGTGCGTTCCGGCCAAAATCGGGCTGGAACGCACTGCATCTAGTGTGACTGAGCCCTCAGTAAAAGTTGACTTTATAACTTAAATATATTTACAAAGCCTGCTGCTGTAAACTAGCATATCCAAAAGGTCCCCAGCACGACTGCTTGTACAAAAATGCAGTCTTTTTATAATGCGGCCCATATGCATACACTGTCACCATCATTTGTTATGCCTGTCACTTTTCCTTCCTGGTTATATAGCAGAGTTCGTCTCTAAATGGCAGCAAAAGCACTTTCCTTTTGTAGAGTGGGAAAGAGTAGAACATCTTTCAGGTATTTATTGCTGTCTGTATCCTTCTGGGAAGGATGCTCTCACTTACTGTTTCATTTGCTTCAGATTCAACCAGAATATCAAATGAGAGAAATACAAAAGATTAGAATGAGACAACTTGTAAACATCAGTTCATGTCATCAGAAAACTAAATGTTTGACTTAAGTTTTCATATTACACCATTGCAGATGTATTCAGTGGTTGACACTGTAGCCTTGCAGAGTTGGGGTTCAAACCCTTCTTCCACTAGGAACACTTGCTGCATAGAGTTTACATGTTCTCCTGTGTCTGAATGGGTTTCCTCCAAGTGTTCTGGTTTCCTACCAAATCATAATGGTACGTTAATTGGCCATAATGTGAGGATGTTAGGTGCAAAAGTGGTAAGTGCCTTTGGGGCATGGATTATATAGTGCCGCAGAAATAAATTAAATAAATTAGTACAATATATTTTTATCCCTCATAGAATTTTACACACTTACATCTGCTTCAGTGTCAGGAGCTCGAGCTGATGAATGGATAAAAGGTTTCACTGGTGTGGTCTTCTCACTGTTAAGTCCAATGTGCTGCAGTAAATTCACAGATGGTGTGGAAAGCTGTGTTGCTCCTCCATTCATAGCCAGGACAGGTTGTGCTGTAACAATCCCAGGTGTTGGGAGTTGAACAACTGCAGACGGGGTGAGTACAACTTGCTGCCCTGTGGTTAAAAGAACAAAATGTTTAAAAGCCTACAGAAAGTTGCTCAGAATAGAGCAGTGAAGATACTGGAAGACTAGAAGTTCAACTTAGTTAAAGAGATCAATATTTGCTAGGGCTGTTACTGATTAAAATTGTCATGTTCGATTAATCAAATTTTTAAAAATCTTTTAAAATATAATTAATTTTGATTAATTATAACGCACATACAGATCCAACTACATTGGCCTAGACACATACAGCACAGCAATGAAGTAATAAAATGAACTAGGATCACACTAATCCAGCACGTTATTAATCTCACGTGCCCCACTCAATATGGCCGCCGCTTGAGTGGGGCAACTCAGAATAATAACGTGCTGGATTAGTGTGATCCTAGTTCATTTTATTACTTCATTGCTGTGCAGTATGTGTATAGGCCAATGCCTTGGAGTTTGGTCCACACTTGTGGGAACACCGACCAGCTGGGAAGATTGTAGAAGAAAGGTTCGATGTCAATTGGCAGGCTGCACAGTGATGTTCCCTTTACATGTAAGTATAACCTATTTAAAAATTGCTGGAACAAGTTTCTTGGGCAAACTCACCGGCCCAAGTGGCTTAGTCAGCTAACGAAGGGAAGGGGGGAGGAGTTCGGTGACGTCACGGACATAGACGTCACCGGACTCCTCCCCCCTTCCTTTCGTTAGCCGATGGAGCCACTTGGGGACATCGATGTCACCGGTGACGTCGATGTCCGTGACGTCCCCGTATCTCCAACGGGACTCCCGGAAGCCAGCTGAGAGGTGAGTATTTTCATTAGCGATCAAAAAGATTAACGATTAATCGAGAAATAAATAGTTCATTTCCGCAGCCCTAATATTTTCTTACGATGATTATAGCCAAGGTCAAGACTGTCCTAGTTTAACATATTCTATACTATGATCAACTGAGTGCAAAATAAGTCTGGGATGAGGAAAATTTGGAAGCTGCCACTGCTGACTTAATTTTTAAAGTGCAGGATCCAGGGTTGCCTTCCCGATCCTGGGTTCACTGATTAAGTGGTAATAAGTACAATCATTACCTCAGAATAGTCAGGGAATTTTGGAACTGTCACAATAGGCAGATGGTTAGAGAGTCAACTATAACCAGCCTAGTTTATGACAGAAGAGGCATGGAGGGAAATGTATCAAAACTGGAGCAGACAGAATCTGGAGCAGCTGCCCATAGCAACCAATCAGCTTCTCCCTTTCATTTTAAAAGCATAAATTAACAAACTGAAGAGAGAGGCTGATTGGTTATTACAGGCAACTGCTCCAGATTCTGTCTGCTTGTTTTGATAAATTGCTCCCCAGAGAACTGAGGCTTTACTCCAATAAGTTGTACATCTGATTATTTTTTTCTACTCCTTGGCCTGGGGAAGCATGCAAGGGTTAATAGGGATACCTGCTTTGTTTCACCTATCTGCTGTTCATCCACCTATCTGCTGTTCATTCACCTATCTGGGAGATAAGTAGAGCAGCACCAGACGTATACTCATCTGTAGAAAAGAATGAAACCTGCACAGAATATTGTGAATGTAAAGCTACATTACAATTGCTAATGACTTCAGTAAACATTCAATGTTTTCTAGACCTTAGCTGAGGATTTCCTCTTTTATTAGAATAATCCAAGGGAACCTACCCATGATAGTAGAGAGGACATTTGTGAGCTAGTAATGAATGTACTGTACATTCCCAACATGGATATAGAGGGAGTGAGAGAGAGATGCTGGGTTAAGAAACCAGCAACGCCTATCTCACACTAGTGATTCTCAACTATTTGTTTTCAATAGTGGAAAGTACAGCTTTTGAATAGTGTAATAATTAGTAAAAGCTAAAAATCGCTGCTTACCTGCTGGTGGTGCTGATTGAATGGCAATCAGTGGCTGCTGTTTTGGCAGCAGTGTTGTAAGTGGCTGAAATATAATGGTTTTAGCAGTGGTTCCTGAGGCGGGCTGGATTTTTGCAGTGCTAGGAATCAGAATGGCTTTTGGTTGAATGGCTGTCTTGGGCACTACAGGTGGAAGTTTTCTTTTTTTTACTGGTGCCTTACCTATAAATAAAATATAGGGAGTTCAATTTTAATAAAGTTGTATACTGTATTCAGCTATAAAAAAAAAAAGTATAAAATAGTTCTGGTCTTATATATTTGCAAGATATTGCTATTCAGTGTGCCTAGCTGCAGGATCTTGTACAGTATAAGTAAAGCTTGTATTGCAGTGTTGAGGAGAGCAGACATGAGTGCTGGCAGATAAGTTTAGTGTAAGTGAGAGACTGTAGTGTAGCACATAGGAAAAGGATCACACAGGCATTGCTTCATCAGAGGTATAGAATGCAAGTAGGCGGTAAAATAAGAGACCCAAAAGCCACCAGTTTCGCATTAAACTAACCAGTAAACTTAGAGGAGAGGCATTTAACTACAGCGGTGATCCTGCTAAATCAGTATGCCCGTCTGTGGTCAGAGAGGAGCAATACTCCCTCCCACCTGTCCAAATCTGTATATTAAAACTTTATAAAGAGAAACTACAGTGCTTATAAAAAATCTTTTATTGCTATAGAACACTGAGTCACAGTGGTTTTGGGGATCTCTGCAATGTAAATTACATTTACAAAGAAAAAAAAACAAAACAAACAAAAAAAAAAACCTGTCTACATAAGTATGCACCCTCTTTATTATGACATAAATCATCAATGGTGCAGTAAATTATTTTCCAAAATATTATAATTACATAAATGTAGATCACTTGAGTGCAAGTCAATGGTTTTTAAAAAATAAATACATATTAAAGTATCCAAAAGGTATTGAAAGGTCCAATTTCAGACGATGTCAGTGGCATGGAGGAATATACACCATGATGACAAAAGAAGATGCAAAGCAACTTCAAAAAAGCACAAGTCGGGGGATGAATACAAGAACATTTTTAAATCACTCACCACACTGGGTGTGTACATTATCATTAAAAAGCTGAGTGTCATGTGAAGAGGGCCACTGCAAAGTAGAAAAATCTTGCAGCATGCTGGCCACCATACAGAATGCCCAGCTTACACGCACTGAAGAGAAGCGTCCCAAGCTGAACATCGCTGCGGTCGCATCACCGGCTCCTTTTCACTATCCTCCATTCACAAAAGGTCTTGTATTTTTTTAAAGAAGGTGACATCATCTCTCCTCTTACAATCACAGAATGTTTAAGAAATATTGTGTGTAGCTGTTGGGCTTGTTCACACGACATCCGGATTCAGTCCGGACCAGATCCGTGCACTCCTGCACCCAAAATGCATCCCAATGTATCCCTATGTGTTTTATGGGCTACAGTTCTCACGAGCGCAGTCCGTTCCGGTCCGGACAGAAAAAATACTGCATGTCACATTTTGTCCGGTCCGGATATGGTCCAGAAATGCACGAACGCATCAAAAACACAACGAAAACGCACCGAAAAGGCACCGCATTGCAGCTATCATATTGACAGCCCCACAAATTTTTATTTTTTTTTAACTGTAACACGTCAAAAACGCATAGCACCGCGTCTGCAGATCTGGACCGGACATCGTGTGAACATGCCCTTAAGGGAAGGAAAGATCATGGCACATTTGTTAATCTGCTAAGAAAAGGTCATGTACCAAAAGTGAGCAACTGTACTGTACAGGCCTCCATGGCTTAGATGAGACAATATGCATACAAAAGCTATTGCGTGACCAGTTTCAGCTTTATGGGAGAGTGGAAAGCTACTATTAGCTGAAACACAAAACATCAAATTCTCAAACATCTACAATTTGCCATGATCCCTAGCATGAAGCTAAAATGGCACATGAATGGCTTTAACAAAAAAAAAAAAAAAAATGCACAATGTTTAGCAATCGCACTGCACTGGAAAGCAGGGCATTGGGGTACCACACGTTCCAATGCAGGTAATCACACTACGTGTGGGAGGGGTGTTTGGGGTGCCATTGAAATGAATGGCACTGCAATGCAC